TTTACACTACTTTCAAGCTTACAAGTAAACACTTCACAGCTTCCTGTCTGGTGGCTGAAGGCATGCTGCTCCTGGGTCAGACCCAGTGGCCTTGCTTACCCACAGCACGGCACGCCTCAGGAGCTTCAGGTTTGTACTGGTTGCCCCTTGCCCCAGGTGCCGAGGTGGAAATCATGCATATGGTGGATTTGCATAGCAGCTAGGCAGCCCTGAACTTTGGGGAACCCACACTTTTTTTTACAGTGGGCTGCAGACAGGTCTGCCCTCTGCCCTGAGACAGACTTCTGCTTTATTAAACAAGTTCTAAGTAAATCTGCCCTTTGCTCCTGAGATGGACACTATTTCTTTCAAGGCTGGCTGCTGAGCAGACATCCTTGGAGGGACTGTCCAGAACAAAAGGCCAGTTAGTGCCTCTGCTCACAAGACATGTAGATATGGGAGAGACCCATGGAGAGTTTTCTGTCAGCTAAGGGTTGAACTTATTTCCACTTCTACCAGGGGGTCAGGGGCATGCACATTTCCACATACCTGCACCAAACACTGGATGACATGGATTTTTGTTTTTTTTTTAACATTTTCATAATCTAATGAGAAAGCTAAAAAGTTTTCTCCTTGCTGCAACTTGCATTTGTATAACTAGTGAGCTAAGTAAGCATCTTTTCATGTTTATATGAATTGCTTGTGCACTGCTAACACTGCAGATTGCCTGCTCTTATTTCTTATCCCTTATTTTATTGGTTTGTTTTCCTATGATTTGTAGGAGCTATGTATATTTTCTAAATATTAATCTTTCTCCTGATTTACATGGAACAATCTTATTCTCCTAGCCTGTATCTTGTTTTTTTTAAATTTTATTTGCCGTGGCTTCCTTTTTATATATATTTTTAATTTATTTATGGTCTATTCTGTGAAATTTTTGGGGTGGCAATGCAGACTTTTGTAGGTCTTGGGAGTCAAAAAGCATCTTAGATTAACTACCAAATATGATATGTGTATCTTCTAATTTGTCTTTTCTCTTGAATTTATTTAGGTTTTTTCCCAACAAGTTTTTGAAAGATTGAACTCATCTTCAAAAAGTAGTAGGGAAAAAAAATCTTCTCTTTAAAAATATCAACATACATGATGCCAGGATAAGAATCAATAATTTTAAATATCTTTTCCCAAACTGAGGGCTCTGTGAAAATGCACCACAGGCATTAGAACATTATAGACCCTGAGAAGTTATACAGAAGAAGAAATATTTAATTTGGTTTAACTCAGCATATCCAAAATTCTGTTAGACTGAATAACTTTAAAATATTCCATAGAATATCTGATAACATCTTCCAGGATATTGTTGTTCCATGGAGGTGCTGAGAGGCAGTCACATATAATGGTTAGAAGCAGGGTCCCTGAAAACAGACTGCTCTGAGTTAACTCACTATCTGGGTGACTGGGGGGGCATATTAATTAACTTCTCTGTGCCTCAGTTTTCTCAGCTTTAAAATGGGGGTAGTAGAATTTATTTTGTGAGGTGGTCATAAGGATTAGTTGAGTGATGGAAAGGGTAGCTGTTTTTCTGTGGAACATTCTGAGGATGCTGCTCTGGGAGCATCACTATAAAGCCAATGGTATTGTTGGTTGGTTGATCCTATTATTGTTTGGAGAATCAATACCATTGTGAAATATTTAAAAAAATGTAACTACCACGCTCCCCCAGAATATGCCACACAGTGTTGCCCATGTGAGAAGAAACTGTTCTGTTGAAAATAAATGCCTGCAATTCCATATCATCTGCCCTTGAGTCTTTCAGCTTAAAGTTCATCATGAAAGAACTACTTAGTTTTCTCCCCACAGCGTCTTTACCTCTCTGGCACTTCTTACCTTTGACAGTCATGTGGCTTCTTGTCTGATCATCTCTTTGAAAGGCACACCTAGGTGAATTTTGGAGATGCTGTTTAGCTTGTATTCTAAGCACCGTAAACATCCCTCTAACTGTGCTGAAAATCTCCCTGTTGTATTGTCACGTGGTAACAGACAAAGTGGAAATTAATTTAATTCTTATTAATTTCATCCTAAGAGTACATCTAGAAATACTCCATTTTAAAACTGGCATTTCAAATACTCCTCCATGAGAAATATTCATATATGCCCTTGCCTTTGGCTCAACTCTCTACCCTTACTGTTTTTAAGTGTGTGTTATTCAAGACTAGATGCTTTTTAAAAAGACTCATGTCTTGGTGTGATGCTGTGAGAATTTTTGATTATCGCATCTTTTGTGATGCCTAGCAGAGTTGATAACCTGTCCACAGCTGCCAAAAGGCAGCAGATGGCATACAAACCATTCTGACATCTTTTCAAGGAGTCTCACTCAGTTCAGCAAGGCTACTGGCCAGAGAGGGAAACATGCTCATCTAAAATGTTTGAGGAGAGTACCTGTTTAAATGAAGGTATTGAAGGATAAAATAAAAATGAATTTCTCCCTCTTAATCTGACTGGTGTTTAATGGGCACACTAAAAGAACGAGAGTTGACAGCAAATAAAATGTGCTCATGATTACTTTTATCTTTTTCCCCATTTGATATTTGATTAAACTGTGTAATGGGTAAGGGATTCTCCAGGAGGGCCTATGAACTAGCTGAAAGAGGCATCAAAAAATGATACACACTTAGGTGAAGTCATCACAACCCAGATGCTGGTTCTCCAAAGGCTCAGAAATTTGACTTGGTAGGCTTACAGAGAACAGATCAGACACAGGTTCAAACTCAAGCAAACACAGAGGGTTCCACTGGCAGGACCCATCCATCCAGTCCCTGAAGGGACAGCTGTATGGCAAGCCACCTTACAATCAGAAGTGTCCAGAAGGAATTGAAATTCAAGCAAGAGGAAATAGTCATATGATCTGAGGAATTAAGGTCATGAAAATTTCCCATACTGAAGCTCCATCACTCAACGCCGAACATGTGCTATGGGAAATAAATAGGTTATTTTCAGTTGAAAGCATGAGTGCTTCTCCTCCCATCAGAGTCTGAATGGACATCATTGGCATCTAGATTCTCAGATCTCCTTTGGGCCCAGGCTCACTGTCTCCTCTTCTCCTCCCGGTGTTTTCCCAGAAGGACTGTGTTATCCTCAATTGGATTCCATCTTACTTAATTATAATCACAATCCAGTCCTCACTCCTGGAGAGAACATCCTGATTTTCTTGATAAAGTTTTAGCTACTTCTGATCCCCTTGGCCACTGTTCTCCACATCAGCTCTATCAGTCCTGGTGCAGATGAGCAAAAATCCACTTAGGGCTGATCCTGTTAATTAAGCTCTCACAGGGTAATTTGATTCCTCTTATGTCCTTGCTTGATTTCCAGTCCTCTCTGTCCCCTTCATGTGCTGCCCCATGGTGTTACCACCCTCGCTGTATTCTCCTCACAGGGCAGGCTCTTGGATTCGCAGAGGGCAGCCTTGCATTTACAGCTGAAGGCAAGGATAACCACAAGCTTCAGATCAAGCATTTTTGTGGCTTCCAGCCCTGTGAATAATTTCTAGATACAGTTCCTTATAATATTTACATAGGACATTCGAAATCTGACATTTCAAATACAAAATATGTCTTAGGTGAACCTGGCTATAACGGTGACATATTTGTTCACTGAGTTACCAGTTGGTTTTTCCATTTCATCATAAAAACAGACAAGGCATGGAAAAACCAGTTGTGTTCTTTGATGAGATCGCAGTTGACAGTGAAGCAAAATCTAAACCATTCATCTTACTGAAAAGCCCTTTTTGCTCTTAACCTTGTTGCTTCTTGTTCATGTCAACCTCGGGGCTCTCTGGTCCCTGCTGCCTCTAGGGCTTTGGAGAAAGAGGCCAGGCCTGGAGTAAATCTAGAAAGTCTGTACTGAGCAGGGCTGTTTTCTGAGGGGGCTAGCTCTTGGTCTGTAGGCAGCAGTTCAGCTCAGAGTCATTTCAGGAAAGCTGTGGTTTGGTGTATGATGTACAGAATAAACTATGAGGACTTTGGGAAGCCAGGCTGTGGATAAGATCCTGTCCTTTCAGATGTCCTGAGATTTGTCTCTGGACAAATCTGCCTAACCCTATGATTGCCGGGAGGCCCCAAAGCAGTCTTGGAGTTAGTATCTCACTATGCTCAGAAACCTGGCTAGAACCAAGCAGACCAAGTATAACTTGCACAGAGACTGTAGTTCATAGACCTGGGGGATGCTGAGGGGCAGCACCATGGGAGGATGCCACATCACAAAACCTGGTAGGTCACTCTGACAGTCATCATTGTTAAGGTGACATGGAGAGAATCCAGGTATGATGAAAGAGTGTGCTCAAGAGTTGGGATGAGGGACAGGGTCTGGTGGCAACCTTATGTTGACAAAGGGGTAGTTGTAGAACATCAGTTTTGCAATATGTAATATATTCCTAGAGTTACTCACGAACAGCCCTGTATATCATGAAATATAAACACCCATTTGGAGAATAAAACATCACCCTACAGTTGAGATTCTTTTGTCCTACTCTCTGAACCCATCTCTGAATTTCCCATGAGTTTTCTTGTATTTATACTACAAATGTTTCTTTTCCTAAATTAGATATAACATTGTTGCAAGTTGTGCCCTTCATATGTGTACTGTCACACTGCATAAATTCTTCTGGAACTTGTTTTTTCATCCTACATTATGCTTGTGGGATACAGTTGGGTTGATACATGTGGCGCTGGTTCATATTTGTTTTATCAGCAGTGTTTTTCACACCGTGGTCCTAGCTGTGGGGAGGGAGGGAGGCAGATGGAGCCACTTAAGGGGCCTGTCCTGTTGTAGACAGTACAGATTGTGCACTTAACGTCCCCAAGTGGTGATCACCCAGGCCAGCTGCAAGGGTGATAAGGAGATCTGGCTGGTAGAGGAAGCTAATTATAAATACCAATATATGTGTCAAGAATTAGATACCCTTATAAGTGCTGTGGGGAAAATGGCCTAATTAATTATTCTCAACTTTGTTTTCTCCACCTTTTCAGTGTTTTCTGGATTCTGCCCAATGGATCTGGTTCCTGCCCTGTAGCTTTCTGAAGGATTGACATTGTGCATCATTAACGAAACTCAGCTGCTGCCTGACTGAACCTCACCTCAAAGGCTTGGGAAAACTTTTTCAGTTAAAACAATAATGATTTTCTTGGAATGTATTCCCAGTGGAGCTTGTTTTCAGTGTGCATGGCAGAATACCTAAATACCACTGGCAGTTCTTCAGAGACTTTATAAAAAGTGCTCTACATCCAACGTCTGAGCGACTCGGGGTTGTTCAGGAGGCCTTAAGAATTGTGGTTATCCATTCACCTGCAAGATTCTACCACTGCTATTCAGAGCTGCTGCTGAAATACCATGTCTAGGAACTCGGAGTTCATCAATTTGTCATTTTTATTAGATCATGAGAAGGAAATGATCCTGGGAGTCCTAAAGAGAGATGAATATTTGAAAAAAGTGGAGGACAAGAGAATAAGGTAATGTTCTTTTATTTTGTATGCCCTCCTTGACTGCTGTCTATTTGTTTGAAGCTATTTAGATCAGAAATGGGACAGTTGCAACCATAGTGGAGACAAATGTTGGACAATGACTTCATGGGTTCCTGGAAGTAGCCCAAATATTAGAGAACATCTTTGGTACTTTATCATTTAGGCAGATGGAAGGATGGAATTGAGTGAATAACACAGTGTGAATAAGAATGCCCATTTGCTAATACTATAAAAACTAGTAGGTAAGTGGAAGGACTGCCTGAGTGTGAGTACCAGCTCTGGGATGTGTTATCTGGATGTGACCGTGAACAAGTTCCTCAATTTCTCCACGCCTTGCTTTCCTCATCAGTCAAACGAGGATAATAGTAGTGCCCCTCTCATAGGTGCAAAGATTAAGGGAGATAATACATGTGCAGTGCCTGGTACCTAAGTGCACAATAAATAGTAGTTGTTATTTCTTTCTGGTGTCTTTCTCAGGGCAGTCTTACTGGGAATGGGCCTCCCCCAAAACTGGGAGAGGAAGAAGGGGATCTGAGGGTGAAAAGTTCCCACTGTATGCCAGAAATCACCTGAATTTCTTGAAATAAGTTTCTGTGTGAGAAAAGTTGAGTAATATGGGCACAGCTGCGTTTCACATGAGTTGTAGGCAGGGTGAATAGTTAGCTGGTTTCCCAGATATGATGTCACCTACGTTTCAGCCAGCATCCATTCTTGATTGGTGCATCATCAGTTCCAATTGGTTGCAGCACTGTTCTGAGTGGCTGCCACAGCCCTTGTGATTGGTTGCTGCTTATGCTGTCCTTCTTGTTAAATTTAGTTGGTTATTACATCTCAACCCTGAATAAAGCAGCAGAAATAACCAGCCCCAGTCACTGCCTACTGCGCAACATGTAGGTTCTGCATCTTATATGTCTCCCCAAATTTCAATCAAAATCTTGTATTTTGCAGAGAAAACTTATGCTAAGATATCTTCACATGTTGCAAAAATGTTCAGTGTTCCTACAGGAATTTGGATCCTAAAATTGGAAATACATTGAAATATTCTTGATGGATGCTCTTTTCATAGTTAAGAGCCCAGAGTTTTCATTTTCTTTATTCTAAGATATTCAACCAATCTTAAAGAAACAAAGGCTTTGATTAAAATTATTTTTCTATGCCTAGAATTGAGGTGGCAACAAAACGCAGTTAATGATTTTAAGGAAATCAGAAGTGATATTTTGGGCATTGGTATTCCAGTCATGAGAAGTGGCTGAATTTGTCATTGTGCTGCAAGAACTTAGATTGTTTTGGGGGGCAAGAAACTAACCAGTAATTGATGACATTCTCAGGGGAATTAAAATCTCTCTCTTCAGGAAAAAAAAACACTTAATAACCAGATCCCCAGAAACACTGAATATAATGAATAAGACATTGTTCAGAATATTTGTTTCTGTTGTTCTCGATAACTTTTCTTCCCTTCTTTCCTTATTCTCTGTTGATTTCCTGCTTCTTTCAACTTTTTTGAGGCTATCAGAAGAAAGACATTGATGGATGTAAGGGATACTTTGTTGGAAATAGATTTTTTAAAGCTGTCATCTTGTTCCCTTGTTTAATAACAACAGTGGCTAATATTTATTGTTTTTTTCTGCACTACCTATGTTAGAAGTGTTGCCTCATTTTGTTCAGAGCTACCAAGATATGAGCCCAGGCCAGCTGACTCAGGCTCTGCCATTCTGAACAGCTGCGCATATTGAGAAGCCATGCTTAGAGTGGGTGGCTCAGTGTTTAGAGTGTCTGTTGTTGAATCTCACATCCACGTTTGTTGACTGAAATCTTAGTTGCACCATGAAATCTTTGTGTCATTTTAAGTAAGTTGCTTCTATAGATAAATCTAGTTTCCCTGTTTCACAAAACAGAAATAGTAACACTAACTACCTCCTAAGTTTGTTGTAGGGACTAAATAAGCTTAATATTATCAAGAGCGTAGAACAATGCTGGCATACCGTAGGTCCGTAGGAATTGCTGACTATAATCATTGGCCCTATTGTTGGCTGGGGTTGCTCTCGAATGACTGTAGGGAACACTATAGTGCTCCACTCAGATCCTCTTGGGTCCCTTGTTGGAACTGTGCTCTCATCTCCCAGGTTCTGCAGGCTTTACTTCCAAGGACTGGCATCTGTGACTGGGGCAGCCCCAAGCCACTGGCCAACAAGGTACAGAAACCCTTGCCTGAAGGCAGGACAGACTTCTGTCTCAGAGTGCCCCATGGGATCGTGCTGAGGCTGGACCTCCCCTAAAGGCTGGACCATACCCTTGCTTAGCCCCTCTCCCCTGCTCCCCTCCTCCCTTGCGGTTTCCTTCTGAGAGTTTTCCAGAAGTCACTTGCACACAGATCTACATCTCAGACATCTGAGAGTTAGCTTCTGGAAAAACGTAACTGGGAGATTTACCAGACCAGACAGGGAATGTAGTCCTTTTTTCTTGACATCCTCCCAAATTATCAGCATAAGAAATTTATGGTGTAGCAGATTTTATCAGTTATCTTTTGTGTAGCCATTTAAAATAACTTTTCACCATACTACAGAGGTGTAGGTTGATATTTTGTGGGAGTCTAGAAGAAGTAATTAATTATAAATAAGATAGAAATTGAAGGAATGGTCTCAAAGGAAAGGCAACACTTGTGCTTGGCCTTGAAATGTGAAAAGGATTTTGATATTGGTAAATATATGTCAACTGCATTGCAGTTATTTAGTATGAACCACGAAATCACCTTCAGATTATGCTCATCAGTTTCAGAAGGAAATGGAAGCCAAAGAAAAATTTTAAAAATTATGATGGCTACAAAGAAGGAACTGATCTGGAAAGTTAGCACCTTGGAGTTTGGGAAGCAGCAGATTTATTGTTTCTCTGTGTGTTTATTTATTTGAGTAGGTTGGCCTTAGATATAAAAAAAATTGAAAAATGGCAGAGTATAAAATTGTACTGAATCAATATTTTCAGCCTGATGCCCAACAGTGCTCCACAATCCACCTTGAAGCCATTGAAGTGTGATGTTAATTGAGGTGGGGTTGGTCTCTCGGTACTCCTAAAGGTGCTAAGCACCCAGAAGGCACATGACAATCCTAATGATGGCCTCCACTCATGAGTTGTAAGCTGGAAAGAGGCATCTGCCTACTACCAGAACATTCCAGGTTCACCCAAGAGGCTCAAATGTATTTATTCTTCTTCAGACCAAGAATGAAGGAGTGGTGGGAGATACCTAGACACAGGCTTCAATTGTTAGAGAGTAAGAGTATTTTAAATGTTCTTTGTGGAGAACAAATCACTGAGATTTAGTGATGGCTTTAATTCAATGAAGAGGGAAGAACTGATGCTAGTAAAATCAAGCTATCAACAGTGATTGCAAATGGCAAAGATAAACTGACAGTACGGAAGCACAAAATAAGTCTTTGCTGATCATTTTGTACCTTAGATTTTTCTAACTTTGGAAAAATTCAGCCAAACATAAAAGAGGACGTGGCTCATAGTATCTACTCCCCCCACAAAAAAGATCTCATTAACAAATTCCTACTTGATCTCCCACACCTAAGAACTAATACTGTTAAATGTCTGGGGTATTAGCCTACGTGAGAGATCTTCGATTTCAGTGACTATTCATGTCAGCAGTTCATTGGTGGGCTCTGTCTTTATCAAGAGGATGTCATTTCATTTGGCCTCAATGCATGAAAACACACCCAGACTTCACATTCTCTCTGGCTCTGTCACCTGTTTTGGGACTTGTCCGGGGGTGAGCTCCATTGGTTGCCTTACAGCTACATTTCTCTTCCATACCACCCAAATCTCACTTTTGCTTAGCTGCAGCAACGATTTTTAAAAAATAATTAATCAACAAAATCAGCCCTTGACTGGTATTCCTCTGGCAGCTATCCTGGGCCTGGAGGTGGACATGAGACCAAAGATGACCCACTCAAACATATAGCCCAGATTTATGGAAGGTTCTCTTTCCCACTGGACATGTTCGATGAAACGTCATCCTGGTTGCTCTTGGCCATGAAAGCCAGCGCAATGATGAAGCTGAGCCAAAACAACGGCAGAGAATTGTCGGCTGCTGTAATAGGACCTGCCGCACCTCTGGGCTTCTTAAGCAATATAAAAGATTTCTGTGTTGTTTATAGCAGTTTGAATCCGATTTTCTGTCACATGCAGCCAAAAGCATCCTGCAATCCCCAAGTCAGAAGTAACTAACATTTGTTGAGTACCTTGTGTAGACCAAATGCTATGTATGTATTGCTGGAATAATGAACGTGAGTGGAGACACCATCTTGATGCTTGTTGGGGCCATAAACATGAAGACGTTTGTGGTCGTGGATCAGGTTTTATCCATCATGTGGACCCAGGGCGTCAAGCAAACTTTTTCTGTAAAAGACCAGGTAGTAAATATTTGAGGCTCTACAGGGTGTATGTTCTCTGTTACAGTTACTTCAATCTGTCATTGTAGTATGCAAGCAGCAACAGACAACATATAAATAAATGCGTATAGCTGTGTCCCAATAAAACTTTATTTACCAAAACAGTCAGGGGGCTGGATTTGGCCCAAAGGCTGTAGTTTGTTGACCTTTCGTGTTGAAAATAATGCCTTGGTAAATTCTAGCCTTAGGAGTAGCTATATACACCTGAAAGCCTTGATAAGTTACCTCAGGGAGAAGCAGGATATTTGTAGTCCAAGAGATAACATGGAGTTGGACCAGAAACTGTCAGCTGTCTGAGATAGAGCATGGACTTGTGTCTGGGAGGTTAGAGGATTTCAAAAGGTCCTGCCGTCTCCAGGAGATTTTTATGCCTCCCTCGATCTGTAGTGGCTCATGTACCAGAACAGCTTAAATAGGTTTCATTGCCTTATGGAAGAACAGGAAAATCAATCCAGAGGTATAGAACATACCAAGAAATAGCAGAAGGTTCTGCAGAATTGCGAGGGACAGCTTACAGATTCATTTTCCCAATGAGATAAG